TGGCCGGGCCTCCATCCTGCAGCGGCTCCGTGGAGGAAGGTGAAGAGTGCAAGAGTTGACCTTGGAAGAGGCCCTTATATTCTGCTCAGGTCATTTAGGGGCAACTCTGTCTCCGATCTGCAGATTCACAAAGTAACAGCCCACGCCAAGCACAGGGAAGCCCTCGTGAGGCTTCTGGAGGGTCACAGGCACTGTCACAGGGGCCCGGGAAGCACACGGGCAGCCCCCTGTCCACTCCTCATGACGAAACCGAGGGCAAATGATCAGCCCAATGGACACGGCTGGTTATGACAGAGCCAGGGGAAGAGCCTAAATCTCTCAACATGTTTGAGAGCACAGGAAACGCAGTCCCTTTTCTTCAGAGAAGTTGTGGTCCAGTTTGAAGTCTGCATCAGCAAACACCAACAAACAGATAAATATGGACAAGTTTTCATAATGACATGGCTCCTCTTGTAGATGAGTTGCTGTAGGTGAAATGTGTTGTTTCCGTCGTGGCAGTTCTTGCCCAGTTCTCCTGTGACCATGATGGTCATCGAAGCCAGCTGGTCTCTGCTGAGACTAGACCATTTCTCTGGCCCCACTGCCCTCAGGCTCCTCCTGCAGAGCCAGCCACATGTGCAATGCCAGGACACACACAGCACGGACCAGGAAAGGGAAGGAGGCAAGGCTGGGAACCCTTGACCACCCTGAGGACCCTCCAGAGGGTCAGCACTGGGGACCAGTGACTTCAGTGGTCATGTTTATACATTTCATTTTTCCAGAACTTCATGACTCACTGACTGTGAGTGGACCGTGTTAACACTTTATCCAAAGCCCCACTCTATCTTCCTCCCATGAGTTTACTTTGTTAGTAAAAACTCGTGGACTAGAGGTTACATAGCTTCATTAGCACCAAGTGTTTCAAAATCTAAAACATGAGACTCACTTAGAAGAAGATCAGATTGACTCCTGATAAACTAATGACAACATTAATTATTGCCACCAGTACCTATTTTTCTCATATGCAGCTAGAAACATCGCCTAGATAAGCCTCCTGTGAAAATTCCAGGACTACTATCTTTCTGCTCCTGAATTTCGGCTTAGAGATTGTTAACTAAACAGTCTAATTCTCAAATTGTCCTCGACTTTATCTCCAAAGGGTCAATGCACCAGGGCTTTCCTCGGATGTTCACATGGAAGTTTTTAATCTGTTAACAAGAAGCAGATGTAATTGGAAAAGGGCCTGGCTCTTAAAAAAACATAAGACATGTAGTTACCATATTAAAATCCTGAGCCAGCACTTAACAAACCAGTCTGGGTCACAAAGGAGATTGTGGGTAAGCTTTGAAACTGTGAGTGAGTAAATTGTTATAGAATCATGCAGTGATGTTTTGTGTGTGTGTGTGTGTGTGTGTGTGTGTGTGTGTGTGTATTTGTTCTCTGTTACTGATTTGGCCTATTCAGATTTAAAGAGCTACAAAGAATGAAATGCTAGAGAAATCAGAAAAATAGATGAGTGCTTGTGATATTTCTAAGAAATAGAATTCTGGTAGTAAAATTAAATTGGTTGGAAACCAAAAACATTTGAAAGTTCCAGAACAAATGTCTAAATGTCTATATAAAACTCAGAGGATTCTAAGAGTAAGAGGGGAATCAGATATTATCTATCCATACTTACTTTACAGGAGAGGAAACCAAGGCCCAGAGAGTTTGCACACTTTTTCTAGGGTCACGCGGAGACGCAGTAGTAAAATCAGACCTAGAATTAATGTCCCCATCTCCTGGCCCATTACTCTTAACTGCATTTTCTATTTATAAATATAATGCGTGTTATCAAAGCCCAAGTAATACTAGAAGAGATTAAGCAGCATAAAACGATCTTCGCTCAACCAGGTGCCTTCCTCCGCCCGGAATTCTACTGTTAGATAAACGCTCTCTGGGCAAACATATGTCCTATTTGGTCCGCTCCTAAAAGGGCAATGGACATGGCCCTGCAGGCACAAGACAGGCGGCCTGGAGCGGGGGCCGAGCAGAGCTCACTGTGCCTGGCGCCAGTGGTAACCCGGAGTGGGGGTGCAGTGGCCGAGGAGGGACCCGGGAGGAAGGGAAAGATGCGGAGTGTGAGGGCAGGGGCACAGGCAGCCCCTCCCGCCTCCAGGTTTGCAGGGTTCTGCCTCTCCACCGTGCACACAGTCACCGGCTGCAATTTCAGTATCGCCATTAGCAAACTTAAAATACGTATTTTTCTTAAAAATCTCATTCATCATGTAATATTTCTAATCTTAAGACTGACATCTGATTTTTTAGAAGGCTGCTTTGGAAAGACTCTTCTGTTGGTCACCAAAAAACGCAGAGCTCAGTAATGACCAGAAATATGTGCCTGAAAGAGAAATGAAGCTGATAAAGGGGGCGCGGGGTGAGGAAAAAAACCCGAAATTGTTTCTGACTCTAAAGAAAAGGCACAGCAGCCAAAACAAATGGCCCCATTGAAGCAGAGCTTTACATCCCACCCCAAAAACTCTTGACAGACTGACCCATTGTTTTGTGTTGTTTTGTACAATTAATAGACAAAGCGATTGTTGGGCGAGACCAGGGCTGCCCTCTCAGCACACAGTCCGGCTCCCGGCTTGCGAGTGGGCGCAGAGGGGCTTCGGAAGTGTGGGCCCCGCCCTCTGAGGTCACTCTCCAGGAGCGGGGCGGCAGCGCGGGCTCCCAGCCAGCCTCAGGTTCAGTGGCCACTATAACTGAGTTGACCCACAGAGGACAATGCGAGCAGGGCTGCTCTGGAACCAGCCCCTGCACAGAGGTGCAGCATCCTCCCCCCAGCCCCCGGCGGGGAGTGCTCCCCTCCCTGCCCCCCACCCCACCCGGAGGCCAGCAGCCTGTTTAGGAAGGAAGACATCCCAGCCACCTCCTGCTGGAAGCTGGAAGGGCCCTGCCGTCTGCTGAGGCCTTTAAAGCGCCACCTAGAACAGCAGAATGCCTCCGCCCCTCTCTCCTTGAGGTCTTCTGCTACCTTAATGCCCCCATTTTCTAATCGGCTCTTCATTATGCAAACCACAGGCTTTCTGAAGCAGGTTCTCCGTTACCTGTCAGAACGGGGTTTCTGCAGCACAAAAGAAAGAACCTGTCACACTGAGAAGTTAATGGTTAACCCAGACTTAAACCCCTCATCAAGCAGGGAATGTGATGGACCCCACGTCCATGGCAGCATCCAAGTGAAATAGCGCCTCTCCCCTCAGATCAGGTTTTGCTTCACTGCAGCTTTTAAATGCTACCCAAAGGGCTCGGGAGGGCTCAGGAAAAGACAGCCCAGATAGGAGGCAGAAGGGGCTGGGATCTAGGTGCTGGGGGAGCCAGCCTGGCCAGGCTTGGTGTCCAAGGATAAGGAAGTCTTTCCAGCAGGTGGGCAGGGGACCCAAGTCCAGTAACCTCCATGCTCGGGACATGGTGGATGAGCAGCAGCCACCGGGTGTTTGCGTCAAGGCAACCGATGTGGTCCTCCAGGCCGCGAGGGGGTGTGGGCAGGACTACAGCTTCCAACCACGAAGCGAACACAAAATCAGAAGGTCAGGCCAAAGGTCACCCGGGAAGGAGAGCTCTGGGACCTGGGAATGACGGACTCCAGGAACAACAGGTCCTGATTCTTAATGGATCTGAGGAGGCGGGACTGCACGCAAGTCTTAATTTTTAATCAGTTGAGTCTGTCACTGTTAGTTAGCTCTGTGGCTTCCCCAGCTGCTTCGATTTGTTCAAAGTTATTATGCTTCCAGAGACTCGTGTACTATTCTACATTCTGCTAATTTTTCTATGAATTTTTAAACATATTTGACTTTAATTTTCTTTTAGTACACAGGATAAGATGTGTATCTAAATTAATTTTTCTCCAATGTGCTATATCTCAACATCAGATACCAATGAATCCTCCCCCCACTGTTTTGTAATGCTCGCTTTGCTGTACGTTAAATTCCTACTCATAGGAATGCAGTCTGTTTGCCTTCATTCAACAAACACACACTGGCAGGCTCTGTTCTGGCTGCTGAGGACAGACAGTGAGCAACTCAGCCAAAGGCTCTGGGCAATTTTAGTTGGAGGAAACAATAAACAAATAAGCAAACTATTAATCCATCAGATGGTTGGAAATTTTCTATTAAAAATGGAAACGTGACACAAACCAGAAGTGCCAATGGGTATGTCAGGGAACCGTGTTCCAGTTGACAGAAAGCCAGTGCAGAGGTCTGGGGCAGGTGGCACGACCAGCACACCCACAGAGGCTGGCACGGCTGGAGCGGCGGAGGAGGTGCGGGGGTCTGCGGTGAGGGGGGTCTTCCAGAGCGGCCTCTGTGGATGTTGACGGTTACCCTGAGTAAGGCGGTGGATCCGTCTCCTAGGGAAGTTGTAATAAATTAACACAACTTGCTTGCTTCGAACAACAGAAACTTTTCCTCTCACAGTGGTGGAGGCCCAGAGTCTGAAATCACAGTGTCAGCCAGGCTGGTCCTGCCCGGAGCTCTGGGGAGGCTGTCCCAGCCTCTCCCCCAGCTCGGGGCTTGCAGGCAGCCCTGGGCTTGTGGGCTCATCACTGCAGTTGCTGCCTCGGTCCCCATGTGGCCTTCTCCCCTGTATGTCTCTAAATGTCTTTTCCTTGTCTGTCTCTCTCTGCTAAGCACACTGGTCACTAGGTTTAGGGTCCATCTCAAATCCGGGATGGTCTCATATCCAGAGCCTTAACTTGAGTACATCTTCAAAGATCCTCATTCCACACGCACAGGCACCAGGGGTTAGGACTCTGACGTGACTTCAGGGGAGACACGATTCAACCCGCTACAGATGGGCAGCCTTTGGAGGGTCTTTGAACACAAGAGTGAAATAAAGGGCTCACGCCGGCTGCTGTGTGGACATGGGTAAGAGGGTCGGGGCAGAAGCAGAGACCAGCTAGGAGGCTACCCTGTTATCCAAGAGATACCTGACTAAAAGTGGGGGAAGTGATAGTAGAAGGTAGAAGGTAGAAGTCGTATTTATATGGGAGGTTGATTCTGATTTCTTGGTGGGTTCCACTGAATTAAATTGCTAATTTTTCTTTACCACTGCCAAACTATTTTGATTACTCTTTCTCTGTGTTTTAAACTGATTGAATTAATCCTCTTTTCCTTTTCCTAGTAGGATTATGTAAACCTTTTAATTTGCTTGAGACAATATTTTATCTTCTGATTCAAGAATATAGATAATGATAGATAGGTAGGTAGGTAGATAGATAGTTAGATAGACAGACATGTGTCTGTCAATTTATTTGTCTTCTGGTACCTTTTTAAATATTTTTTTAAAATGTTCTTTAGAGCAACAACATCCACCTCACTAGGTTTATCCCCAGGGAGTTCTTGTGAGGAACGAGTTAATACGATAATCAGGATCTATATTTTCATTCTGTTGGCTGGTGGCTGCTGATAATTAGCGAGGCTATTAATTTTGGCTTGTGTATTTCAGATCTAACATTTTATTGAATCATTTTATTAAACATGATTATTTTTGCTGGCTCCTCTGCATATTCCAGTTTTCCATTTTGTTAAGTGCAAATAACGATCTTTTCTCCATTTCCATTATCATTCCTCTTTATTTTTTCATGTCTCATTGCATTAACCAGAGTTTTCAGAACACTATTAAGGAACCATCCTTGTTCCAGTTTTTAAATAGAACTTAATTTGTCTATCCATTAAGCACAAATATGGGCTCTCATTTTCCTAATATTTTAATATTTCGAGGAATCTTATTAAATATTATCAATTGTCTTTTAGACCTGTTACTCGTTTTAGGATAACCTACTGATGCTGTGAGCATGTTAGTAAATGCTCTCGTGTCAAAGCCTTCCACTGTGCCACATGTCCTCCAGCAGACGCCTTTATATTGGCTTAGAATAAGTTTTAGGGTGTTCATTTTAGCATTTCTGTGTTTCTTTTTATAGCTAGGGATCTGCTTTATTTTGGTGACATCCTCATTAAAATCAATATTCTCATATCATATTACAATGTTTGCAATAATTATGGCACCTTGGGACAAGATCTTGGAAAACTGCCTACCAATAATATTTTATTAACACTCCTGGAAAAGGCACTAGTTTTCTGTATCCACATCATTATCATAAAAATGTCTTTATGAAGTGCCTCTAATAATTCCTAATGCTCTGGTGTAGAACAGAATAGTTCTTGTCTCCCAGGAACTAATGACAACAACTTGCAGATTGCATAGTATTTTGCAGTTGATAAGCCATCTCCACGTAGATGATCACAAGGCGGCATTAAACAAAAGCACAGGAGGACGTCGTATCTGTAGTGATGCTGGAGCAATAACTTCTCTGGGGGGAGACTGCAAAGGGCTCCACTGCAAGTTCCGTGGTCCCCAAGGTGTCTTCCCAGCTGTCACCCTGTCCACCCTTGGGTAAACCCACTGCTCCTTTAACGGTCAGGCCTGTTGGATGCGTCCCCCTAACCCTAATGTGTCCTGACCCCTATCATGTGGGGACACCCTCAGCCACCGTCCCACACACATTGTAGCATCTCATTCACAAGCTTCCTCTCCATCCCAGGCCCTCATCATCCAAAGTGCTCTCCTTATCCCTCTGGGAGCCCATCTAAGACGACGCCTCTGCTTCCTGGATCTGCTTCATTCCGGCCTCACTTCAGCCACCCAGACCCAGAGCCTCACTCTGAACCTTGTCGGGACTTCTCCTCTGCAATACTCCCTCTCACCTGTCCCCACTCATCCACAGTCCCATGCTGTCCCCATCTGGCTGGGGTCTTCCCTACCAGGCCAGGCCACCTGATTGGTCATTCACACTGTCTGAAACCTTCCAATGGCCTGCCATCCATCTCCGCACAGTTCTTAGGCGTTGAGGGATGGAGGTGGGGCAGTAAAGTTAGGGGAGGACGGAGAACTAGAAATCTCAGAGGCACGGTTTCCTGAGGGGGGTCCCGTTGCCTGGAGGATGCGGCAGAGTTTCAAGTTGGAAGAAGGCTTTGCCTCTGCGCTGCCGATGCCGCGCTCCCTCGTCTGCCCCACGTGCCGCAGCCATAGCCCTGCTCCACCTTCCATTTCTGATCTCAGCTCTCATTCCATCCCTGGGGTGGTGCCCCTGGCCTTCTGCATGGACTCCACTGCCTGCCATCACCGGCCGTCACCCGGCACCTCGGTGGGCCCCTTGGCCGGCACTGCCCTGCGTCTGGACTCTGTCTTGGCCTCCACCTGGCCTTCTGCCATCTGGTCCCACCTCGTTTCCTGTCACAGGGAGCCCTCTTCAGCTCTCACACTGGTCCAAATTGGTTTGGTCCCTACAAGGCTTCAGAGCCAGCTCACAAAGAACAAAAACCAGTTAGTCTCTAACTCTGCAATCATTCAAAGTTCAGTCTTTAAAATGCAGAGATTTTTCTGCCTCATCTACCCACAGCTCAGCAACTGTATTTCTACAGCTATTGTTATTCTATTTCTGTTCCTAATTGCTATTATGGAGAACCGTGCCTAGCTGAAGCTTTGGGAGTTGCCAATCTGTGGGCTCCCTTCAAATGTAAATGTGTTATGCAAATGTCTTCTGAGGCAGAGAGTGAGATACTGTGGTCTTCCCTGGTTGGGACAGGTTCTCACCATCACTGGGATGGTGAGAACTGGAAGGCCATCCGCTCCCCTCCTGATTTAAATGCGCACAGTTCTGAGGTTGTTTTCTGTCTCCAACTTCCTCTCCCACTGCAGCAGCTGAATTTAAACTACTTGCTACGAAATGCTGCTTCCTGGGGTCACTGCTGCTTAACTGTTTCGTGGTCACGCCCTGTGAGGACGGGAGCACATTCGCAGTCAAATTTCCTTCCCCAGAGGGACTCAGGATGATGCCGGTGAAGTAGCTGCTGTTAGAGTCTAGAAACTGCGGGTTTTTGTGGGTTTTTTTAACATGTAAAATCAGCTCTCCAAATAATTCGTGAAAGTGGATCAGTCACTGTGTTGTTAGCAAAACGAAACATCAGTGTGGATGGAGACCTCACCATTCTGAGTAGAGTTCTAAGCCTTTGAAAAGAGTCAGTGAAAATGTTCCCTTCCCAGAGGTCCCTGACGCTGGAACACTGG